TGTTACAGACGAGCACGCCAAGGCCCCCCCCCTCCCGCGACCCCCTGCCCCGGGGAAGGGAATCCGCAGAGCACGGAATGAGGGGACACAGGAGGGGGAGGGAGAGTGCAACCACCCACCGAGGCATCCGCGATCATCAAGAAGGCGAGCGACCCTGCGGACCCCCCAGGTCGTCTGGAATGGCTACCAGGGGGGGGGGAATGACATATACAGTGATACATATCCACATATAGTATATACTAGATATATGTTTGAAAGCGCTTTAAGGGTGTTGTATTATGAGGCTGTATGGAATGGATATCTTATTCTTACTTTGTTATTTTCTATTGTATGTTTAGATATTTCTTTATACTCAAGCGTTGGTATGTTGAATATTCAGAACTGAGTGCCCACAAATGGAGTTTCCGACCGTTTCGAAAAGGTGAAATTCTTTTTTCCGATTATAGTTTCTATAATCTTTTCGTATTTCACACCATGGATCCTTTTTCATAGTGGCAAGGTTCTCTTATGAATTATATTCAGGCGATTTCTACTCTGACTCCGGAGCTTGCATTTTGCATTGTATTTTTACTCTTTAATTATTTCCTTATTTTGCTTGGCTGTGTTCTCAATGCAAAATCATTCTATCTGAATATAAAAATGCATGGACCAACAATCACAATTAATCTTTCATGATTTCTCATCTTCCATTCTTGTTTTTCCCTTTTTCTTTATATGTATTATTCATTGATTTTTGACAATATTTCTTAAATGTGAGTTAAAGATTTAATTACCGTAGATACTTTAAGAATCTAAATTTCATTCATTTATTCTATCATCTGGTAATATTTTATATCCTACAAAATGCAGCAAAACAAAAGCAGTACTAGCTCGCCCTCACCCCCTTCCTTTACGGAACTTCACTCGTTGGTTGAGAAATATCTCACCCAGGGTAGCGATGTCGAGGGATGGCAGCTGGACGCCATAGAGAAGTCCCCTGCTCGTTTTCAGGTGTACCCTTTTTTTGAACATCAGCACGTCGGCGCAAGCTTTATCTACAAGGATATGAAGCGCGGACTTGAAACAAAATTCCGTTGGTCTAACGCGTGGAAGTCGTGGCAGCAATATATGCCATATGTGACTTATTTGTTTAACAAAAACGGTATATCACACACACTTGAGTTCAAGGCACCGATGGGTACGATATTGTATACCCTTCATCATCCTGCCATATCCGCTTTCTGGTCGTGTGATTTGTCAAGCAAGGGTGGAGGTATGTTAGACTTATCAACGCGTATTTGCAAACAGACGTGCGCTGGCGTATCGTTTTTGTATGATCCGTTCCGCAGTGGACTCAAAGACGCAGTTTTTTTACTGACCTATGCAAACTTATCAACTTTCAACTGTGGCAACTTGTCCTTTGGCAACCTTGTTACTAAGTACTCACTAAGGAATGGACTTTCCTTACATCTCCACGTTCCTGTAGATCCCTGTGCGAACATTGTTATTCTTGCAGAACGCAATCGTTTTTTGGCAGGGCTTCACACTACCCTAAATAAAACTGCGCACTTAATTGCAAATGCGAATTTTAGTGATAGAAGTTTAACTTTCACTGCAATAAGAAATGTTAGCGATATTTGGAAAGTCAGTCTTACATGTAACATTCCGGTTATGAATACGGAAAAGCTGAGTCCGAAATACGGAATAAAAATATCCAACAGAGACGCAGAGGATTAAAAGAGAAATGATAACGTATCGTAAAAATATGGACTAAATAACTTGGCCATATATATATATATACCCTCAGAGCGGAAACCGACACACACACACATTGGCATACTGTTTCACCCTTTCCTTAAGCTTGAAGTTACTTTTCATGATATCTTACTGAAAAATAGGACTGGGATGTGCTGCATGACTTCGTATATTATGTTAACCGAATTTAAACCTTTTACATTCCACGATGAACATTATACATAAATTACCAGCTTCCCAAAGTCAGTCCTCTCTTTCCCAAGAGCACAGAACCCTACTTGTATAACGAATAGTGATTTTGTTTGAAGAATTGCTATTAGCCTGAGATGGATGGGAATGCTTTGGTTTTCATTACAGGGTTCTGAAATCTTTCTGCTACTGACCCTAACGGCTGTACAATTACATTTCCAGTGTGTTTACATTGGAATGAAAGAAAAGGAACTCAATTGTCATGCATTGCCAAACAACATTCTTCATTGTAAAGAGAAAAAAGGATAGATTTTTGGCAACCAGCTGTGACTTCGACATTTTAAAGTAAGTTAGTTACCAAGACTCTTTATTTATAACCACATTGTTATCACCTTAGAGGTCCATCCAAAACTACGTTTCCACTTATGTTGCCATAGGGATACCCAAAACAACCCCACTCTTTTATGGTCACGAACGATCTCCCCTCTATTACAATTACTTTCCCCTAATTACTTTCTTTAATCCTCCTTTATAACGCATTAGTGCTCTTTAATCTTCCATTTACTACACTTTCCACTAACCATGACGTCTGTTGCGACTGGGTCGAA